TTTGCCTAGAGTGGCCTTAATTGAAATTTTTGTTACGATCATTGTAGATTCTTGTACAGTTATAAGAAATAAAACAGAGAGGCTGGGTGTGGTGGCTCACGCCTGTAATCCCAGCACTTTGGGAGGCCGAGGCAGGTGGATCACCCAAGGTCAGGAGTTCGAGACCAGCCTGCCCAACATGGAGAAACCCTGTCTCTACTAAAAATTCAAAATTAGCTAGGCGTGGTGGCTCATGCCTGAGGCAAGAGAATCGCTTGAATGCGGGAGATGGAGGTTGAGGGAAGCTGAGATTGTGCTATTGCACTCCAGCCTGGGCAATAAGAGGGAAACTCTGAAAGAAAGGAAAGAAAGGAAAGAAAGAAAGGAAGGAAGGAAGGAAGGAAGGAAGGAGGAAAGAAGGAAAGAAAGAAAGGAAGGAAAGAAAAGAAAGGAAGAGAGAGAGAGAGAAAGAAAGAAAGAAAGAGGGAGGGAGGGAGGGAGGGAGGGAGGAAGATCCCAGGTACCTGCCTTCACTCAGTTTCCCCAATGGTAACATCTCGCAGAACTACTGGACGCCATCACAACCGGGGTGTGACTGCTCTTGCTCAGGTTTCCCTGGTTTTCCTTACACTCATGCATGTGTATTTACTTCTGTGCAATTTTATCGCAGGCTGAGGCACGTGATCACCTGAGCTCAGGAGTTTGGGACCAGCCTGGGCAACATGGTGGAACCCTGTCTCTACAAAAAAACACAAAAATTAGCCGGGCACGGTGGCATATGCCTGTAGCCCCAGCTTCTTGGGGTCTGAGATGGGAGGATCACTTGAGCCCAGGAGGTGGAGGTTGCAGTGAGCCGAGATTGCACCACTGCATTGCAGCCTGGGTGACAGGGTGAGACCCTGTCTCAAAACCAAAACCAAACAAATAAACAGAATGAGAGTATGCAACCTTTTGGGATTGGCTCTTCCCCTCAGCAGACACCACTTTTCTTGAGCACCTTGATCTCATAGTCCCAGGGATGGCTTCTGTTATTCCCATTTCACAGCTGAGCAAACTGCTCCCACCCCCACCCCCCAAGAGCCAGTGCTCATGATGGCTGATTTGGGGAGCATCTCCTCCGGGAGAGGAGGGCAGGGGGTTGGGTGGAGGGCTGAGGCTGGAGCCTTCCCCAGCCCTGCTGAGACCCAGCTCCCTCTTCTGCAGCCTGTCTCGGAGTGGGGTCTCCTTCGTGCCTCCCACCCACTCCCCAGGCCCGTCTCTTCCCTCAACAGAGAGGCCGTGAATGGGGGCTGCCGGGGGCCGAATCTGCTGATCCGAGGCCCAGCTTTGCCACAGAGAGGCTGTGTGACTAGCACGGTGGCCCCATCCTCTGAGCCTCAGGATCCCCTTGGGTAAAACAGGGGGAAGGGTCACACCCTGCAAACCCATGAAGATGCAATGAGGCGATGTGCGAGGCACAGTCAGCAAAGTGCCAGGCGCAGAGTGAGCCCCCAGCGCACGCCGCGGAGAGCCGCCTGCAGCCCCATTTGGCAATGAATTATGTATGGCCTTCTGGCAGCCCTGCGTGTGGGGCCGCAAGCTCCCTCTGCTCCCCACCCCCCGCTTCTCTCTCCTGTGAGGGGCGCAGGCTCCCCTGGGGGGCGGCCAGTGTTCTTTGTCTCTCCTGCAGGGACCCCCTACCAGCTTCCCAAGGGTGGTGCCTCGGTGCCCAGGATGCCCATTTCACAGGCTGGAGAACCAAGGGTTGGTATCGCTCAGGATCTTTTTCAACAGATACTAACAACAACAATAGAGCACCACCAATAACAATAATAATCACCATTGTACCTGCTGGGCTCTGTGTGTGTGTGTGTGTGTGTGTGTGTGTGTGCGCGTGCCAGACACCTTTAACAGAAAATCCTTCATCCAACATAAACGCCCGCCTGTGCAGGCACTGTCCGAGGTGTTGGGGGCACAGCCCACAACAGAACAAAGTCTTCCCCTCGCAGAGCTCAGGTGCTACCGTGGGAGAGCAGGAAATTAATACATGAGTAATTGATGCCATAAAATGTCAGGTGACAGAGGCTATGCAGGAAGAGGAATGAGACCGGGTGGTCAGGGAAAGCCTCTGTGAGGAGGTAGCATTTGGGCAGTGCCCTGAAGGAGGTGAGGGAGCCCTCTCAGGAGGTATCGGGACAAATGTTCCAGACCAAAGGAACAGCCAGTCCAAAGGGCCTGGGGTAGGACCTGTGCCTGTGCCAGGCTCACCAGTGCAATGGGAGGCATCAGATTCTCCGAACAGCCCTGGGAGGTGCATACCACCATTGCCCCATTGCAGGGATGAGAAAACTGAGATGCAGAGCCTATTTAGAATCTTTCCTCGTCTGCTTTGCAACAGTTGCATAAATGTGTTTGGTTGGGGGTGTCAGGAAATATGTGATGTGTATCACATCATCTTTCTTTTTTTGGGGAGGGGGAATGGACTCTTGCTCTGTTGCCCGGACTGGAGTGCAGTGGCTCGATCTTGGCTCACTGAAACCTCTGCCTCCTGGGTTCAAGGAATTCTCCTGCCTCAGCCTCCCAAATAGCTGCGATTACAGGCATGCACCACCACACCCAGCTAAGTTTTGTGTGTGTGTGTGTAGTTTTATGTATTTTTAGTAGAGACAGGGTTTCACCATGTTGGCCAGGCTGGTCTCGAACTCCTGACCTCAGGTGATCCACCCACCTCATCCTCCCAAAGTGCTGGGATTACAGGCGTGAGCCACTGCACCTGGCCTCATCTTTCTAGGAAAATTCTGAGTTCTGGAACCATCTGCCCAGGGATTTGGGGTCAGAGATGGTGGGCCTGTCTGATCCTGGTCTTTGCCATGGTTATGATTGTGGCATCCCTGCCTGTCTTCTATCACGTGCCTCAGCCTGTTTTTCTTTTCCCTTGCCAGGCTGCAAGCCCCTGATATCAGACTAACAGGAGCACAGCATTTCATGGTCTAAAGACACTATGTTAGGGTGAAATTCTGTTCTTCTATCTTCCCCCCTTGCACGGAGAGGACCCTCATTCCTACCCCCACCCTCGCCTCACTGTACCAGGCACAGGCAGAGCCCAGGTGCTGCCTCTGCTTGTCTGCAGTTGCCGACGAAGCCTGCGCTGTGCATTCGGCAAGTCTGGAGAATTGAAGACCCAGGCCCTTGGCCATATCACCGCAATGCAGGCCCAGAGGTGGCAGGCGGGAGCTCATCGATGAATCTGCCAGTGTCAGTCCCAGAGCGGACCCCAGAGGTGTTCAGGCGTGGACTCGCACTATCTGACATTTCCATCGATGGCCTGCATGAGGAATGAACGGTGAGCATCCTCTTTCCTTCTCCAGCTGGGGGTGGAGGGTGTGAGCCAGCTCACCGAGAGGAAGCCAGTTACAGAATCAGAATGACTCAGGCTGGGCTCTGTCTGTGGTGTGTGTCTGCAGTCCCAGCTGCTTTGGAGGCTGAGGCAGGAGAACTGCTTTAGTCCAGGAGTTCGAGGCTGCAGTGTGCTATGATCATGCCTGTAAGTAGCCACTGCACTCCAGCCCGGGTAACACAGCGAGACCTCGTTTCTAAAAAACAAAAACAAAATGACTCACTGTAAGGGCGGGGTGGCCAGAAATCAGGGACTGGGAACCTGTTGGGGAAGAAAAATCACATAGCAGCAGCCTCCTCCCAGCCTTCCTGCCTCCAAGTTTGCCCATCTAATCCATCTTACAGAGCTTCCAGCTTAATCGTTCCAATTAATCCTCCTTCCTGAGCCAGCAAACCTTCCATGTTGCTCCTACTTGCTTCCAAAGGTAGTTCAGTCCCTGGCCCCAGTGTCTTTCCCGGGTGTCCTCCTCCTCTTGGAGCACACCAGGCTGCCCACCGGTTGAAAGCCTTTGTCTGGCCGGGTGCAGTGGCTCACGCCTGTAATCCCAGCACTTTGGGAGGCCAAGGCTGACAATCACCTGAGGTCAGGAGTTTGACACCAGCCTGGCCAACATGGTGAAACCCTGTCTCTACTAAAAATACAAAAATTGGCCAGGCATGGTGGCTCACGCCTGTAATCCCGGCACTTTGGGAGGCCGAGGCAGGCAGATCACGAGGTCAGGAGATCGAGACCATGCTGGCTAACACAGTGAAACCCCGTCTCTACTAAAAAAAATACAAAAAATTAGCCGAGTGTGGTGGCGGGCGCCTATAGTTCCAGCTACTTGGAAGGCTGAGGCAGGAGAATGGCGTGAACATGGGAGGCGGAGCTTGCAGTGAGCCAAGATCGGGCCACTGCACTCCAGCCTGGGCGACAGAGCAAGACTCCGTCTCAAAAAACAAACAAACAAACAAACAAACAAAAAACTAACAGGGCCTAGTGGCACACAGGTCTGTAATCCCAGCTATTTGGGAGGCTGAGGCAGGAGAATCGGTTGAACCTGGGAGGAGGAGGTTGCAGTGAGCCGATATCACGCCACTGAACTCCAGCCTGGCGACAGAGCAAGACTCCGTCTGGAAAAAAAGAGAAAAGAAAGCCTTTGTCCATGGTGTTCTCTGTGTCTGGAACAGCATCACACTTGCAGGCCAGATCCACATGAGAGGAGACTCTGTTTTTACAACTCTTGAGGGCCTCTCCAGTCCTCCGGCCCCACTCCATTCCACATCCCCACAGTCAACACAGCCCCACTTGCCTGGACTCTCAGAGCGGTCTCCCAGTAGGCCTCCCTGCCTGGGGATAAGTCCCAGCTCTCAACCTGGCACTCAGCGGCCTTCCTGATCAGCTGGGCTCCAGCCCTGTGATTCCCACCCACTGTTTGACCTGACACAGCTGCTTAAGTTTCTCTAGTTCTTCTAGATTACCCTGTTCTCTCACTTCAAGACCTTCTTATGTGTGGATTTCCTCTTCCTGGAACACTTCTCTCCCCTCTTGGCCTGCCTAACTTTTACTCATCTGTCAGGAAGCCATGTTGATTCCACCTCCTCTAGGAAGCCCTCTTGGATTTAGGGTCCCTCCTGTTGGCTCCCAGAGGTCCCATATCCCTTGCATCATCACAATTCCTCCTCCAGATTGAAGCTGGCTGCTTTGCCAGTCTCCTCTAGGCCATGGTCTCCTGAGGACAGAGCCGCACCCACATTGGCCTCGATCTCCTCCAGCTTGATCGGGGCAGGAGGTGCCCAAGCAAGCCCAGAAGGAAAGAGTGGGAAATGGTCCCACACGTGTATTAAGCTCCCACTCCACGGTGAGTCCAGTCCAGTAGCCTGGATTGCTAGGCCTTTCGGACATGGAGTTAGGTCACCATCTGGTCACAGCCTGCAGCCCCAGGCTCTTCTCTTTTCATCTATATAGTGGGCATAACCCTGGATCTTAACAGCCTTGTGAGATGCAAGGAAACACTAGACCCCAAGGGCTCATCCCAGTCCCGGGTAGATGATTTTAAGTATTTCGTGTTCCCATCATCAGTCGTTATTGGAGCTCTGGAGTCAACCACTGTGGCTTCAAATCTTGGCTTCTCCTCTCCTGGCTGGGTGACTTTGGGCAAGTTACTTAACCCCTCTGCGTCTCGGTTTCCTCATCTGTAAAACGGAACTAATCATAAGCTTATTCTGTCTCTCAGGGTCCTGGAGAGGATGACATCAATTGATATGCATGCAGAGTTTGCACAGCGTTTGATGCAAGGAAAGGGCCGGGCAAATGCTGGCTGTGGTTGTTATTATATCGGGGTCACCCTGAGCATCTGATACCAGTGAAGAGACTCTGGCTTCTGGGGAACCTTCCAGAGCTGCAGATCTGAGCCGGGCAGGAGGAACTCTTAGACCTTGTGAAGCCTGAATTCCTGTCCCCTAAAGCTCTTAAAACCATTCCATTCATGTCTGCTGGTCAGTGTCACCAGGAAGTGCTTCCTTGTATCTGTCCTAAGTCTTTTCTGCGTTGATTTCTCTGGGTTCCCTTCCAGGTCAGATAGGAAGATGAGGGAAGGAGCCTTAAGGCTGTTTCATGTATCAATCCCAGAACTTCCCAGATCAGGCCGGAAGCCAGCAATGTGAGTCTCTGGCTCCTGGCGGGGCCAAGAGCTGGGAGGGGAGGGTTTGCCTGGCTCAGCCTCCTTCGAAGGTCTCCCAGCCACAGCCAGATGCAAAACCACCTTTGTTCCCTGAATTTCAGGCTGTGGGAGGGAATGGGGCCAGTGCCTGGGGTGCGGCTAGGGAGGGAGGAAGAGATGCAAGGATTGAAAACTCGAGGGAGGCCTAGAGCAGGAGGGAGGCAGGACAGGGCACCCTGGGCAGCCAGAGAGGGGCAGGGGTGTGGGAAACGGAGGGCGCAGAGCAGGGGCCATCAGGGCTGGGAATAGGAGCCTCGGGGAGGCCGGCGAGGCGCGGAGAGGGAGGCCTCATACCAGACACTGTCTAGACGCAGCAATTATTGTCAGCTCGGAACACCCAGGCTCTGCCGGTTCAGCTGAAAGGGAGCTTAACAAAGAAGCAAGGGAGGAAGAAAGCAGGGAGAAAAGCCGGCTCCTGGCCTGTCGGGTTCTTTCTCTGCCTTGGCCACCCCTCTTTGTGTTCCACCAGCCCTGCGGGGGGGACCCCAATGTGAAAGCACAGCTCAGAGATGCCTAATGGGGACATGGCTCCTCCTGGACCCAGGGGGCTTGGCCAGGATCACCGTGTGGGTTTTTGGGAGGGAGAGGAGGGTGCTCTGGGCCGCTTCCTGCACGTGTATTTCTTTATATGGAGGCAGTGAGAACCGAATTCCCAGGGAGACAGCAGGCCCGAGAGTTTGAATTGCGATTCCCCCACCTTCCTGCTGTATATATAGCTCTGGGCCGACTACAGATTTCTCTGAGCCTTGGTCTTCTCGTCTGCAAAACAGGAAAAAGAACACTGCCTGGGCCAGGCGCGGTGGCTCACGCCTGTAATCCCAGTACTTTGGGAGGCTGAGACAGGCGGATCACTTGACGTCAGGAGTTTGAGACCAGCCTGGACAACACAGTGAAACCCTATCTCTAATAAAAATACATGGCCGGGCGCGGTGGCTCAAGCCTGTAATCCCAGCACTTTGGGAGGCTGAGACGGGCGGATCACGAGGTCAGGAGATCGAGACCATCCTGGCTAAC